GGGGGGGAGAGGGGGGGGGGGGGGGGGGGGGCGGGGGATGGGGGAGATAAGGTTTTTTCAAATTCTAAAGATATACCCTATTCTACATAGAATGTCGACATCATGCCTAGATAGAAGCCATTTTTGATCTGTTGATAAAAGAAAAAAAATAGGCATCAGTTTCTCAAAAACCAATGGTCTCTCTCTTTCTCCTACAGTGGATTCATCTTTAAATGTCATCTATGTAAAGATTCCATAAAATATTATTACGCTCTTCTTTTCTTAAATAATTCCCACCTATAGTTCTGTTTTTTTCTGTTCTTTGTCACACACTGATTCAGGGATATGAAAGCTCATACAATGACATAAGTGGCTTTCCCTTCTTTGTATATTAAGTCCATTTAAGTAGTTGTGGAATTAATTCCAAGAGCATTAAAATGCTATCAGGAGCAATTATTCCCAGAGAGAATGTTGTCAGCATAAATAATCTAACAAATACATATCTGCTGGGAGTTCATTTTTGTAATGTCGTCTACCTATTTTCTCCCAACTTTTTATTTTAAAGAAGTTCAGACACACAGAGAAGTGAAAGAATAGTACAAACACCTGTAGATTTTTTCGCCTGGAAGTATTTTCACCATATTTGCTTTCTTTCTTTTCCAACGAATGTTACACTGACCCATAGGCATTTGCTGATATTTAACTGTTTTTCACCTAGGAAAACAGCAACTTAATTGAGCCAACCTACCATATGTATATCCACTCATTGCTTAAAGTAATTTGCAGACCTCATACTAATTGGCCCTAAAATAATTCAGCATACACCTCCTAAGAATAAGAACATTATCCTACAGAACCACAAAACAGTAATCATACCTAAAGTAATTAACATTAATTCAATAACATCACTGACTGTAAGGTCCATATTTTAATGTGTGCAACTGTCCCCAAAATGCCTTTTATAACTTTGGGGGGGCAACAGGGATCCACTCAAGCAAAGTTCATGCATTTTATTTGATTGGTTTTTATAACATGGTTTTTATGATATTATTTTTTGTTATTTTTCACAAAACTGCTTTTTTTTATAGTCCAGGACAAATGCCTTGTAGAATGTCATATATTCTGAGCTTATCTGTTGTTTCCTCATGATTAGATCCAGGTTAAATATTTTTGCAACAATTCTAGATGGGTGGTGTGGACTTCCCAATGCATTGCGTAAGGAGACACAAACTGTCAGGTTATTCTACTATTAATTAGAAATTTTTTAACTTAATAATAAAAACTTTCAAACATATTTCAAAAGTAGATGGAATAGTATTATAATGAATACACATGTTGAATCCCCAGCAATTACCTGCCCGTGGCTAATGTTGCTTCACCTGTATCCCTACCCAACTGCCCTACTTCCAAGTGATTTTGAAGCAATTGTAGACCTACTATTATTTCACCCTGTATCATCATCAAATATACAGTCTGTATTCCCAGTTCTATTGCTTTTTTTTCTAACTTAAAGTTTATTTGTATCATGATCCAAATAAGGTCCACACATTGCTCAATATGTCTCTTAAGTCCCTTCTCATCTCTCCTTCATCTTTTACTTTTTCTTGCAACTTATTTTTGAAGAAACTCGGTCATTTGACTGTAGAGTCTGCCAAGAGTGTGGAGTTTTTTGTTTTTGTTTTTTAATTGCACTCCCAAGGTGGTGTTTAACAGACTCCTTTGGGTTTCTTGTAATTTGGTCCTTGAATCTAGAGGCTCAGTCAGATTCAAGTTTGCTCATTTTGGAAAAGATTCCTTCATAGGTAGTGCTGTGTTCTTCCTTTAGAAAACACAATGTCTAGCTGTCTCTCTTTTTTAGTGGTGCTGCTCTTTGGTCAACAAGTTAAGGTGAGATTTGCCAGATTTCTTCTTTGCAAAAACACATTTTCTCCTTTGTAACTAGTAAGCAACATGTAGGGTTATATTTGAGATTCTGTGAGTACCACTCTCCCTGACAACATTTCACTCAATGGTTTCAGCACAGTAATTCTTGCCTCACTCAATTACAGTACCACAGTAGGAGCTGAAAAACAGTGGTTCTCAAATTCTACTCTTCCTTCATATAGAAGCTGGCATTCTTCTATAACATAGTTCTTCTTGCGCCCTCCCACTCTTCCCCTTCTCTCCCACCATGCAGATTCATGGATTTTTATTATTATTATTATTAAATGTGTTGTAATCCATAATGTAATTGTCCCAAATTTGGCCACTGTGAGCTCCTTCAAGCCAGCTTCTGTGTCCTTTTGACACGACCCTACTAATCTTTCAGCACCTCTCTGCGTTCTGGCACAACAAATATGCCAAGCTAATCTTGTACTTTTCCTGCCCCAGACCTCAAAGACCTATTTCTCCAAGGATGCATGGTACCTTTCACTGCGAAATGGCAGTTAGAAACCAAGATCTGAGACCTCAGTCAGTGCTCTTTGTTAATAAAGTATCATTGCTTCTAGGCTCTTTGATTAAACAGAGCAAGGATATCTTAAATATCTTAAGTCACAAATGCATAGTGACACCTTGAATTTAAAGAAACACCCCAGAATTCTTCCTCTCCTCCCTCAATCCCACATTCACATCACCCTTCCCCCACAATGAAAACCCCCGAATTCTCAATATAGGTTGAACATTCTGCTGTGGATTGGATCCCCCCACCCGCCCCCAACCTCATTGAAGTTTAAATCCCCACTGTAACTGTTGAGGGTGGGAAATCCTATCATGGTACTTGAAAGGTGGGGCCTTGAAGAGGTGATGAGATTATAGGACCATGCCATAGTGAATGAATTAATAATGGTGGTCAGGGGCATGGTTCGGAGGGCTTTAAAAAGAGAGTGAATGAGGAGGTTAGTCTTCTCTCTCTCTGCTCTACCATTTTCTGCCATGTGAGACCCCTGCATTGCTGTAAAGTCACCACCAAAGACCCCCACCAAATGTGTTCCCTGGACTTTGGACTTCCTAGCCTCTGAAGCTATAAGCAAAAATTTCATTTTCTTATAAATTATCCAGTTCCGTGTATTTTGTTATAAGCAACAGAAACAGACTAATACACATCCCTAACCCAAAAATCTAAAATGCTCCATAATCCAAAACTGTTTGAATGCTGAGATAATGCTCAAAGGAAATACTCATTGGAGCATTTCAGGTTTCAGATTTTCAGATTAGGGATGTTCAACTGATATGTATTCTGCAAATATTCAAAAATCCAAAAAACTCCAAAATCCAAAACACTTCTGGTCACAAGTATTTTCAGTAATATATTTATCTACGTGCTCTATCTACAATACACCCAAAATAGTGTCAAACTTACACCACCAACAAACAGTAAGGTTCAAGATTTCTTTGCAGTTCTTTCTATCCTTGGAACACAGTCTCACTATACAGTAGACCTTTTCCTTGAGATAACCACACAATCATCATACCTGGGGATGCAGAAGTGCTTTACACGTTCTTCTCATTTCATTGTGCAATATATTAAAAAGAAATGTCCTCAAGGGTGGAGATTTAAGAAAATCTTTTTTACTGCTTCAACAGGACATTCTCATGTAAAACTGACATTTTCTTTTTAAATCTAGTACATGGAGATAAAGAATGCAATGACAACCAGTACACTTCATTGCCACCACCTTGATTCATGCTAAAGGCCAGAGTTTTCTTCACCTTCGCTTCTGCATAATCAGTACAAATATTCAACAGCAAAGAAGGCAAATAATGTCTTGGTACTATTAAGACAATAA